TACAGATCCTCAAAACCCCAACGCAGTTTATGAACCTCAGTACGAGGCTTTTCCTTTTAAGATAATAAAAGAATTAAAACTTGCTGTAACTCATTATGGCCCTACTTCACCATTCACTCTAGGCATAATCCATAATTTGGCTGATGGAAATCATTTAATTCCTACAGACTGATGTACAATGTCTCAGACATGCCTTTCGCCTGCTCAATTTTTGCAATTCAAAACTTGGTGGACAGACAGAGCAGAAACCCAGAGTAGATACAACCAGACCCATAACATTGCTATTTCTCAGGATCAGCTCCTAGGGACGAGTAACTGGGAAAGCACTCAGAATCAGCTAACTATGGATGATCAGGCTACAGCTCAATTAAAAAGGATTTGCTTAATTGCATGGGAAAAAAGAGAGACAGATGGTCAGGCTCCAAAGTCTTTTCAAAAAATCCTGCAAGGTCCTATGGAACCCTATACAGAATTTGTAGCCTGCTTACAAGATGCAATAAGGAAACAGGTAGCTAATTTGCAAACAGCTGAAATCATTCAACAAATCCTTGCCTTTGATAATGCTAATGATGACTACAAAAAGGCTACTGGGCCCATGAAAGGAAAGACTGATCTGTCAGGTTATATTTGTTTGTGTCAGGGAGTGGGAACAGAGCAATTCAAAGCTGTGATGTTAGCCCAGGCAATGGCAGGAATAGAATTCAGACAGAATTAATTCCCAGAAAGTTGTTATAATTGTGGAAAATCCAATCATACAAGAAGAGAGTGCAGAAAGAAAATCAGAAACAGTTCCCGCCCACCTAATACCTCTGCTCCTATGGAGCCCAGGCAACCTGGGCGGTGTCCTAAATGCCAAAAAGGAAATCACTGGGCTTCGGAATGCCGGTCAGTTTATAGTAGAAACGGTACTCCGCTTCAGGAAAACAGGAGAAGGGGCCAGCCCCAGGCCCAGACAAGAACCGGGATATATATGGCACAGGAGAAGCTTCAGAATTATCAGGCAGTGCCCCCTCTAGACTTAATGTCCAACAATTAAGTTCAGCCATGGAAGGGAGTGTTGCAGTCGATGTCTGTTCAGCACAGGATATTTTATTGCTCCCTAGAGAATCCCCCCTCCATGTAGCCACAGGAATTTTTGGCCCGATCCCTTCTAATACTGTTGGATTTCTCCTTGGTCGTTCTAGTTTAACTTCCAAGGGAGTCAATGATTATACTGGGATCAGAGATTCTGACTCTGAGGGAGAAATTCAAATTATAATGTTCTCTTCAGTTCCCTGGTCCGCGAAGAAGGGAGAGTGAGTTGCGCAGCTGCATCTCCTCCCACATATTCTCCCAGGAAAAAAGGGGATGCAGAAAAGAGGAACTGGAGGATTTGGAAGTACTGGTCAGGCAGGTGTTTTTCTAACAGAAAAGATATCAGGAATTCGTCCTGTTTGTGAAACTGAAATCCAAGGCAAAAAAATTGAAGGTCTTTTAGATACAGGGGCTGTTGTTTCTATAATTAGTTCTCAAGAATGGCCAAAAAATTGGAAGGTACAGGAACCAAACATTAACATAGCGGAGTTGGCAAAGCTTCAGGCTTATGCCAGAGTGTCTGTATTCTACCCTGCCTGGTCCACTGACACAAGGCAATTCAATTGCTGATTCGTTAGTAGGGAGTGTCCAAGTTGCTGAGGCAACACATTTTCATTCTTTAACTCATACTAATGCAGGTGGTCTGCGTTCACGGTTCTCTATCACTAACAACCAAGCTCATCAATTAATACAGACGTGCCCTACTTGTCAGGTTCTTAATGCTCCACAAGAACGTCCTGAAGGAGTTAACCCTCGAGGTTTAGTCCCCAGTGCTATCTGGCAAATGGATGTGACTCATGTTCCTTCATTTGGGTGGACATCCTTTGTTCATGGTTACTGTGGATACTGCCTCTGGTTTTCTAGTCACCAATGCTCTGACAGGAGAGACCACCGCCATACCTATCGTCATTTACTTGTTTGTTTTTCTATTATGGGCCTGCGTTGTTCTATCAAAACAGACAATAACCCTGCTTATACAAGCTCTAAATTTGCGCAATTCTGCGCTGTATGGTGAATTTCACACACCACTGGGATTCCTTATAATCCACAGGGTCAAGCTATTGTTGAACAGGCTAATTCCACCTTAAAGAAACAGTTACAAAAACAGAAAGGGGAAGAAAGCAAGGACCCCCCACAGATACAATTAGCAAAAGCTATGTTTACCTAAATTTTTTTAACTCCTCTGGTTCAGGTACTGAACCACACATTGGACGGAATGCAGCTGAAAGGCATTTCAACAGCATGCTCAGTCCAAAACACTTGGAAAATGTTCCTATCTGGTGGAAAGATATCCAAACTAATCAGTGGCATTTAGGATCCTTATTAACATGGGGCAAGGCTTTGCCTGTATTTCTCCAGGTCCCAAGGAGCAGCCTTTGTGGGTGCTTGGCAGGTGTGTCAAACCTTACCATAAGCGACGGCTCGCGGAAGAGAAAAATTGCGCGGATAGCAGACATAGAACCTCCAGTGTTCCAAATGTCCAGTCTATCACTCACAACCACGCTGAAAACCAGCCAGATCGGCCCACCCCTCCAACCCCCTGGAGGAAGCACTCCCAAGACAGAGAAAGCTCAACCTCCCACATAGGGGCAATTGAAAAAGCTGTCTCAGATGGCAGAAAAGAATTTGGATGACAAAGGCATACCTAAAACTGACACCAACATGCTAGTTTCAATGCTTGCAGTAATTTCAGTTGTGTCTTTTGCAAAGCGTAGTAGCAATTAATTTTACCTATTGGGCTTATTTGGCTAATCCTCCTTTATTTACTCTCTTAAATCATATGGCTTTAGGCTATTTAAAAACACCTATTTGCATTGGTTTAAAAACCCCCGTGTCTCTCACTGTCACCAAACCTGGGATGTTCTGAGAGAGAAAGAAAATAACTACTCTAAAATGTGACTGGAATATTTCTACTTATTGTGTTTAATCGACTTTACTGTAAATATCCAACAACTACAGCAGGAAGTGGATTTGATGACGTATGCTCACTTATTACTCCTGCCTGGAGATGAAACGCTTTCGCAGCAGCGGAAGAGTTTTCTACTTTAAACCCTCCTCCCTTGGGTAAAAACCCTTGGAGGAAGATTTGTGGGTGCATTTCTAATCTTACTAATTTTACTGTTTCTATTTTACCTAGTCATCTGCCACAGACAACACACGCTCAGACGGTAAATAATCAGGAAATCACCAAGTCTGTGTTCCTCCTGTTGCTAAAATCAAAAAGAGGGAGATGTCACCTTGCAGCTGCTGACTGGAATGCTCCCATGCACTGATCCTTTGAAGTCATAAGGGACTGTCTCGGAATGCTGAGACCCGGAATAATCTCGGTAAAACATCCTGATCTGATGGTCTCCGAATGCTGAGTCCATCCATAGGGATCATACATATGTGTGAAAGCACAACTTGTGTTTGATCACAAGGAGTTTCTGTGAAGCAGTTGCCAGACACATCGAATCAACAAACTGGGTTAAGATATTCACATTTACTTCTTTGTGGCAGTTGAGAATTAAAAGCTTTGCAGCCGCCAGAATAGGGGCTCGGTCCACAGAGACTTGAGACCCCTGGCCCGCAGTAACTCTATACTTGACTCTTGTATTTCTTAACCCTTGCCGCACCTCCTGGAGCTCCCCAGCCCTTGTCACGCGGGACGTGATAGGGGTTAAGCAAAGTAATTTTAAATTTCAGCACTGCACATCCTTGAGCCTCTGATTTGTCTCGATTCATGTTACTGCCAGAACGTTGCTTTATGTTTTCCACCTTTATTCTGAGTTACTAGAATCCCACCCAACAGATGGCTCAGAGTTCTTGTTATTGAAATGTATTTAGTATTTTATTATGTGAACCACCCAAGATAGGGAACAACTCAAATGAGACCCGTGCAAACATCCCTTTTACATAAGATGAAATTACAGTGGAAAACTTGGGTATTCATACCAAAGGCCTTCATATAGGCTGGACTTCTACTTTTGTCAAAAAATACAACTTTCAGTATTTCCTAAGTATACCAGACAACTCAATGATTTTCTTATTCCAATTTTCATTCTTGTAAATTGACTTCTAGAATTTATATGAAGTATAAACTTTATTTTCAATCACACCATACAGGCATTAAAAAAAAAAGGAAACAAGTTTGACCCATATCAACAGAACATAAAGACAAGGATTCTCTGATAGCATAAAAGTGATTCATACTTTAAAAATAAATCTTCAAGTAATCTACACAATTATTTAACATTTAGTTTTCTAAATTCAGCTAACATGAAAACCATTCTGTAAATACCTAAAAAACGTATCTTGAGAAGGAAAAAGAAAATTTATGGGACAACAGAAGCCTTCCTTCAACTCAAATTTAGACAAATTTATAAACAAAATTTTTGGAAACCATCTCCATAGGACACATATAAAGCAAAATGATTGAAAGTAAAAGCCAGCAATTTCCAAAGAATTATCCATTCAAAGAGGCACCCATGGTTGCTAGACCCCATTCCTTTCCGAGCACGATTTTTAAATATCAAACCCTAAAACAGAAGAGCACGTTTCTTTATTTGGGCTTTCCTTTGCCCCATTTCCTCCCCGACCCTCCCTGCCATTTCATCTTTCATTAGATATATGATATACGTAGTTGTAAACTGTATGCAAAAACAATCCCTGAAATGGCATTTCATACTAACAGATGCAATGTACTCTCCACATTTTCTTTACCCAAAATAAATGAATGAGTCTAGGTAAGGAAAAGCAGAGTTGAAACTTCAGTTTTTGCTGCAGGACACACTTAACTTATGCTACTTGCTCAGACCCTTCTCAGCTAAGAAGCATTTTCTCTAGTCACTCAGAACTTGAATGTGTTAGCTGCCGCATACTTTAAAGTCTAATCACCATTAAAGCCAAGAAACAAAGTCCTCAGGTAAGGTAACAAGAATACATACTCAGGCACTGGTAGTTCCTGAACACAAGGGTAGTAAGCGGTTGCACAGCTAGGGAACACGCCAGATTCTGAAGACTCTAACCATGCCACACTGAGCCCAGCAAATCTGGGGATAAACGGCTTGACATCTGCTGACAACTTGATGCTCTGAGGAAAAAAAGGAAGTTTTAGCTACATATATTATGAGATCAATCAAACATAAACAAAACGCAGTAGCTCTGCTCTAGCAGCCCGGGAAGGCTAATCCCAGCGCTGTTGTTCAAATATCTCTGCCCGGCGAAGACAAGCATTTGCTAACAATTTCTCCCAACATGCTTTTGTTTAAACTAGAAAAAGCGGCCTACCAAGTATTGAAGTGAAAAATAAGGACACCAATTAAAGCGGAAGTAAAATTCAACCTAGGTTAGTTAGTTAGGAACACAACTGGCAACGTATCCTTAACTTTAACTTGGAATACGGGTACTTGACTCCTGTCTGCTGTAGTTAGGGATAAACGAGCACCACAGGACTGTCGGTAGTCAAACATATCCACGGAATGTTTACCTGTAGCACTCAAAACACATTGCGAAAGGCTACTTCCACTGAATTTCTCAATAAAGTTATACAAACCATTTGCTTTTCACTCAATGAATCACTAAGAATTGTTTAATTGAAAAGCAAAAGGAGCTTTACTAGAAAAATCTATCGCCATGAGTCCTTGAACTTTGAAAGTAAAAAATTTGATTTTCGGTTTTTCTGACACGTATATGAGATTTACTTTCACTGCCAATTCACAAGCACGGTGTTGGATTCGTTTGAAAGCCGATTTATGAGACTGCTGGGGTTCCATCTAGTGGTTACGCTGCGCACGTTGAGCGGAGACTCCTGTTTCAGAAAACGCTTGAACGAGCTACTTTAACAAGCCTCTCCTGGCCATGAGTACGGGGAGCCGGCGCAGCCGCTCCGCGGCATCGGCACCGGAAACGGGGCGACCTCCCCTCGACAGCGTCCTTCCTCACCCCAGTCAGCCGCGGACGGTGTGGGTTCTCCGGGGGCTGGGGAACCGGCCGCCCGCCCCGACGCCCCGCGCCGCCCCAGCCCCGTCGCGGCCGCCGTCCTCACCTCGCCTGCAGGCTCCCGCGGCCCCTCCGACGCCATGGCCCGCGGACCGGAGGGGGCCGGGCCCGGGAGGCCAGAAGCCACCCCGTCAGCAGACGGGGCAGGCGCAGAGGTCTACACCTCACCGCTTTTCCGCCTTCCGAGCGGACGCCAGGAAGTGCGTCACAGAAACGCGTCCCAGCCCGCCCTGCTGCGGTGCGAAGTGCGCGCGGCGGTGGCGGTGGCGGCTTATGGGGAGGTGGCCGGAGGAGTGAACTTAGGAGTCGCCGGCCCGCTCTGCGTGTTTGTCTGCACAAAGGCAGCGGGGAAGCACTCGGGATGCGAGTGGGCCAGACTTGAATGAGGGACCCGCACCGGGCGGTGGGCACCTGGAGCGAGACTGGGCTACTTAGGGCAAGTGCATACCGATAGTTCTACAGACCTAGAAAGCCAACAAAACTTTTCTTAACTTCCAGGAACTTAAAGCACGTTGGAAGTAACCAAACAGAATCTGAAAACTGCTCATTTCTTTTCAACAATAGCTACTGACCATTAAGAAGGGTGCTGGGGAAGGTAGAGCTGCAATAGCGTTGTTTTTGCGGGTGGAAGAAAGCCACCCTCAGGGGAGGAGTAAATGGACGCGGTGCCGGAAGCTGGGGGGGGGGGCGAAGATTAGGAGGAACTCGGGATAGGAGGAAGGTGCACACAATAGATCGAAAGCTTGCCGACCGTGAAGGCCGTTTGACCAGTAAGTGTTGATTAAGTTCAAACTCCTAAACTGGAGGTTAGTTGTAGGTTTCCTGTCCCTTGCGGCAGAGTTGGGTGACTACCAGGTACTTCAAGCAGGAAAAATGCAGGCAGCTCCAGTTCTCCAGGTGTCCTTCAGTGCTGGTACCACAGGTTCATTAAACATGCCTGGACACACCTAAAAACCTCCAGTCTGGGGAGGCCTAGGGTCTAGCACTAGTAATTCATGCTGGAGGTGAGTGGGTGTTGTTTCCCCTCCTTCTAAATACTATTTGGTCTACCCTAAACCCAACTAAGTTTATTTAGCAATTCTGGCATCTTTATTGGTTTGTTTACCCTGGACCTCTAGCTGATGGGTCCCTGGGGGTGGAAGTTAAATTGAAAGGGGTGTATAAAGTCATCCCTTTCTAAAAATGGTCACACACAGGACCACCAAACTGGGGTCTTACGTTACTGTCAGATCATTTAAAAGGTTTCTCCAGCATACCAATGAAGATAAATAGCCATTAACTTTAATATTTCCCTAGCAGCTAAAAAGGCGATTTAACAAACACAAAATAAAGATGGCATGAAGGATTTTTTACAGTGCTTTTTAACTTTTAAAAATAGGAAACATTATCCCTACATGGCAAAAGGAGAAAAGGATAAACACAGGGTTAAGTGGTTTCTCCCAAGGCCACTAGTTGTGGCAATTCTTAGATAAGAGGCAACAGCCCAGATAAGAGTATTTGGGCTTCTTTCTATTCAAGTGGAGATTCTCGACAATTCTCTAAGAACTAGACTAATATAGCTATAAAATCTTTGGCTCTATTAAACTTATTTCTGGTTCTTGGTTTCTTCTTAAGTGAATTAAATGGTACCCTCACCACATCAAGCTATTTTAAGCCCATGTAACACTTTATTTCCTCAGGACCAAAATCATAAAACTGAAATCATCCAACCACCTCTACTCACAAATTAACCTTAAAATAAACCTCAATAATGTCACACAATGATAAATGCAACATACAAACTTTATTTAACAAAAGTAACAGGTAAAGTCAAACAGGCACTTATATTAAGAGAAAAACTGACCAGAAATAATTTTATCTTAAACACCTTACAGTAACCCACTTGCTGCTGCATTTAACTGAGCTCTGTTGCTGTGAAGAATACAGCTCATGCACAGGTATGGACAAATGATTTGTACATTTTTCAAGTATTCACTGAATACTACCTTATATACACATATACATTAAACTTGAAAAAGATTAAATTGACGATCCCCAGATATACTTCATTTTTGTTGATCTTTTGGAAGAGGTCGTCTAAAGAGAAGAATATGTGGTTCTGTGGAAAGAAAATGTTTTACATCATTTTAATATAACATGGTTATTTCACTCAACCAAAATTCAAAGAATTCTCAAATGAACCAAAATAAAATAAATCTATAGTCAATGTTACTTATTGAGGTATCTGAAATGAATTTTACTTCAAAGTCACTGTCAACAGTATACCGAGAAAAAAAAAAAACCTGACAAAAAGAATATTTCTCCAGTGGTTTAGTTCTACCCACCCTAGAGCAAAGGGATGGTAAGTAGAGAAGCTACTTTGGGAAGAATGGTTTCTACATTTAGAATCTCAATTCCAGTGAAAAATAAAGAGAAAGGCTGTCTGGCTCTTTGTGGGGAAAAGATACCTAACACCTCATTCAAAAACTACCAGCTTATCACAGTGCAGGTCCCAGGGGCCCATACCAGTAGATTCTGTTTCAGCAACTCTGGGACCCAGTAATCTACATTTAAGTTCCTCAGTTGCTTTTGTATTATCTGGAGAAAGACTTCTCGAATTCTAATATGATTACATGCCCCAATCCCAAGAAAGTTGTCTCTTAAGAGTTTTCGATGCTGCTTTTCTTTAACAAGAGTGTAAAGCAAGACAGCTTTAGTTCCATCTAATGAAGCTTCTGCAAGTATGCCTTCAAATTTTGTTCAAAGCATTATAAATCCTTGAAGTTGGATTTACTGATAACCCATAAGCAGAATTTAACCCCAGAGTTTTAGTTTAGTTTACTATTTAGTATCTGGAAAATTCTCTGGTAAATACTTCATAATAACATGAGCACTCATAATGCATAACAGGTAGCACATTTGAGTTCACTAGCTATGCTATCTCATTTAATCTTAACGTGGAAGGTACTAAAGGAAAAAAAATCACTTCAAATTGCATAAGTTTCTATACATAACTCAAGGACATTTAAGTTATTTTAAAATAAGTTCTTAGTTTTCAAAGAGGCTCTAAAAATATTTATGGTAAAATACTTTAAGATATATTAACAATGACAAATTTTAAAATCAAACAATTGCTCATTTTTTGACTCAAGTTATTTTTTGCAGGTAGAAAAATGCATTATTTTTCACTTGTATGTTATTTTATTTACTATAAAATTGGAGCCCTCTAGTGAGGAAAAGAAATGAGTCATTCAAAAATAGTCCAAACTTATCAGTTATTCTGGCATATCACTGAATGTCAATATTACTAAAATTTTTCAACAACCACTATTTTAATTCAGTTAATGCTTTTAAATAGCAAACTTACCTGGCTCATGAATCATGTAATGAACCCAGCCTAGACTCTGTTGGACACCAAGTCTCCTCCACTCCTCTTCAGACATCAGATGGGTTTTGGGTACTTGTTTAGAAAGTTCCCTGGGTAACATGACATGCCTGTTGAAAGAAATAGCCAAGTATTAATGCTGTGTAAATATGCCTTTTTTATTATGATCACTTTACACATGCATCTTTAGGACATTTGAAAATTAGGGGTTTTTGTCCTCACAACAAAGTTCTTTAAAGCAACTGTCATATTACATCAATTGGCATTGATCTTGAGAGCTATGCTCTACCTTTAATTCTGATTTTTGATAGCCCATGTTCACATTAGGGAGATAATAAGAATATGCAATCCAAAAATGAGAAGGCATTTTATTCAGGATTAACTTTTTTTTTCCCTAACAAAGAGGGCTTGCTAGCTAGTTGTCTCAATCTTCTTCAGGAATAGAACTCCCCAAACTAAGTTGGACACACAGTTTCCAAAACATCTAGCCTTCCCTGCAGCTACCTCTGTCATATGACTAAATCCTGGGCAATAGGATATAAACAGAAAATAGGTAACTTATGGAAAGTAAGCTCAAAAGGGAAGTACATGCCCAACTATTCTCTTTTTTCTCCTTCCTGTTGATTATGAAGCAGAATGACCTGATAAGGGAGCTAGAGAAGCCATCCAAGACCACAGAAGCTATTGTAAATTGAGGATGGTCGCTGATTATAGAGATACGTCATCCAGTTTCATACAGCCTTTTACATAAGGAGAAAAAAAAAATCTCATTTGTTACAGTTATTGGGTTTCCTATTACTCAACATTGTAAATTTACAGTAGATAAAAATTTTGTATACTCCAGAAGTTGCTTTATTCTCTGTTCAGAATTAAGAGCAAAAAAACAAACACTAATCACACATATACATGTACCTGCAACCTGACACAGACCTTCAGTTTTCCTGTTAGTTAGACCTATACCCAAAACTTCAGTTTTCTGAGGAAGGTATGCAATATTCTTCAATGTCAAAACATCAAGAATATGTACAATTGTAGCTTTGTTAAATTCTCAAAGACAAATCTGTACCCCTCCCTTATTTAATTACATATAAAGATCTTTATAAAAATCACAATTCCCAGCCCTATTTTTACCATTTCCAGGTAGCAGTACTAATTTTATAGTCATACATAATCATCACCAACCAAATTTTTTGACCAGTATAGAATATATCTACCTGTAAGTCAGTTGGCTAGGAGAAAGGTACAACTGGTTATTTTCTGGCACCCAGGAAAAGAACCCATAACCCACTGTAAGTACTCATCTGTCAGCAGCTAAGCTCTCATCTGTGGCTGGTTACTTAAGCATCAGTTTCATATCATTTGCAGAACAAAAGCAAACCTTAGAAGAATTGTATTATGTGACTACACTGCCATGAGGCCAAGTCAAATTATGCTTACTATCATAGTTAAAATTTCACCAACTCCAGTGAGCTGCATGGTGATTCTTAGCAATACTTACCAGCTACCTTATTCATTCTTGAAATGCTGCTTTGAGATCTACTTTTAAGGCTCTGCATACCGGCAAATATATTTTTGAAATTTACATTGCATGTTGCACCACCACATACAAACCACCCTACACTCACACCTCAGTGATTTATTATCAGTATCAACTTGCCTTTAAAAGTATCTCTGGAGATTAATTCCTATTTGTATAATGCAAGTGGCTTGGTCAAGAAAGGCCATCATCTTTAATAATAGATTAGAATATATCACTTCAGACATGACAGAATTTTCTTTTATACATTAGTATACACAAACCACTAAATAAATTAGGCTAAAATTTTGATAAT